CATGGGACAACGATAACAGCCTTGAACTGCCTGCCCCTGGACTTCTTTTATCTAAAAATGAATAAAAGAATGAATGAATGAGCTTCAAGCTTATTTCAGCTATGTTTATTTTATTTTGTTCTGTATGTGCATTCAAACTCAAGTTTGCATGTTGGAGATCTAAGTAAAAGTAGTTTACCTTCCTCCCAGCCTATAGTATACGGGAGTCTAAAGCATATGAGAATCAATCTATGATTGATATATGAGAGTCCAAAGCCCTCCCCAAGATACCCGTGAATCCCTGAGCATGTAAACTCCTAGTCCTTCAGCTTCTGGAGTTGTTATTACCTGTGCCTCCTTTGCTCTGCCCTGCTCTGATCCAAACATGAAACTCGTTTCCTCATTGATTTCCACAAGAATCCATTCAGGATCTTGGCAAAGTATCATCTCTCACATGGCACAGTAAACAACTTACTGATCTATGTTGAACTTCCTATTAGCTCAGGTCTTTTCGCCACCCCACTTCCCAGCACTTCTCTTTTGGCGCTTCAGCCAGGAAGACCCCAGTGTCTCATTTGATCCTGCTTCTCCCTTCCCTGCCCCTACTTCCTTCCTTTTACATCCAAATTCTACTGTCTGACTTATAAAAAGGAGCCCATGTGCCACAGCTCCTTTACCCATATTTACTCTTAAGTGCCCGGCAGACAAAAGAAGTTCTATTTAATAGAATTCACTCTCCTAAGAAGGCAGTTGTAGTTGTAAGTGGCATACCTCTGCCAGTGAGTGTGAACGTAGCTCTAAAATCTTAAGAACCTCAGAGTGCATGAAGGAGTGGGTGGGGTGTATGGGGAGCAGGAAAGGAGTGTTGGAGCAAAGATCTGCCTGTGTGTCTGGGTCACTCTGCACTCTTGCCATTGCTACATTATTAACACATTGAGGATCACTGGCTTATTTCCTGGTATGTGTCTCTTCCTGCTGGAAACTACCAGTGTACCTCTTGGGAGGTGGGTTTCCACATTCTCTCTCACCATGTGGTTATTTCCTACGTTACATCTGCAAGTTTCTCTCCTACCAGTGATAATACGCTTGGGTGGCCACTCCTCTGGGGTGTTCTGAATTTCTACTTTGTATCTACTTAAGTGCATTACTAAAATGGACATTCCTTTAAAGATTCCGAGAAAATATATAAAACATGTTAAAATTCCAATACTTGAGAAGGATAGTGTTAATTCATTGTTAGCTTTAAATTTACCTAACATTTACTGTTAGGTTTTTTTTCATTCATGTTGTCTCTTTAATCCTCATAATTTCCCTATAATATTGGCATCGTATACCCCATTTTGTAGTTAAATAAACTGATACCCAGAGAGGTGGATCAGCTTGCCCAAGGACAAGTCTCCAGACGATGAGAAGACTTGTGGTGAAACCATGATGAAGATGAAAGTGGCCCTGATCCTAAGCCCAGAATTCTTTTAATTAGCCGACACGCACCCTTGTCATGGATTAATTTACCGTTTCCCTAGCAGAAAGCAGACACGTGAGGTAGAATAAATAAACCCTGGCTGGGGAGGAGGGGTCAGCAAAGGATCTGGGCTTGGTGTGAACCAAGGGTCACCGCAGAGAATCCTGGGAAGCCAGAAGCAAGAGGAGGGATCCTTGGTGTCCGAAAGAGGAGGAAGTCAAAGAGAAGAGGTGCTTTTGAGAGAGCACCAGATTTTACAGTATCTCCTGTCACCCAGGTCAGTTTTTTTTGTTTTTTGTGTTTTTTTTCTGATTAAGGAACTTGCTGTGAATGAGATGGTTGAGGCCAATGCAGTTCAAAAAATAGTCAGGAAGCATATTCAAACAGAACAAGCCAAAACCACCAGTGTAACATTTGAGAATTATAAACCCTCAGCCTTCTGTAGCAGCTGGACAGACTGTGGTTTGAATCGAAACTCTCCGAGTGAAGTAAGCAACAAAGTGCTCCAAGGAAGAAATCTCATTTCCCAAAAGCAGATTTTGAGAAACTCAGAATTGGAGCATCTGACACAGGTGTCCTCAAGGGACATCGTACAGGGTCCAACAAGTCGTTAGAAACCATTGGCAGGTCCAGGGCCTTTCAGCAAGTGGTACAGAGATTCTAATAGGTCATGTGCACTCAGTGCTCCAGGAGCACAGGCAGCTCTGTCGGGGAGATGAGACCAGGCAGTCTGAGCGATGCTTGTGCAAACAGTAGGAGTCCTGCACCTTCGCCTCGGCGACTGGAGGGAGGGTTTGTTAGCGATACATGGGCTCACGCACTCCCTTCAGTGTCAGTTAGCGAAATCACTTCCCGACTTCTGTGGTCCTCTCTTTTTTTTTTTTTTTTTTTTTTTTTTGCGGCACGCGGGCTTCTCACTGCCGTGGCCTCTCCCGTTGCGGAGCACAGGCTCCGGACGCGCAGGCTCAGCGGCCATGGCTCACGGCCCCAGCCGCTCCGCGGCATGTGGGATCCTCCCAGACCGGGGCACGAACCCGTGTCCCCCTGCATCGGCAGGCGGACTCTCAACCACTGCGCCACCAGGGAAGCCCTGTGTTCCTCTTTTGACCCTGCCAAGTAAGTACTCACCTTAGAAGCATGAAAATCACTTCCGTTTAGGGAAAACCTACTATATGTCAAATACTACCATGACATTCCCCGACAGGTGAAGAATCTCAGCCCTGGAAATGGTAAGGGACTGGCTCAGTGCTATACAGCTAAGCCCGGGGTTCCCAGGGCAGCCAGCCCTGCCCGAAGCCCCAGCATCTCAGGCTGCCTCAGGACCGCCGTCCCTGGGGTGCTTGTGGGTGGAACTGCCTGGGTCACGCACACATGACCAAGGACCTAAAACTTGCACACAGCCTAACAGTGAGAAATGCCTCTCACCCTGAGGTGTCCCAGTCCTGCTTGCAGCTATAGACATAGACCAGGAGACCCTCAGGAGGCCCAGAGCCGGGGCCAAATGCTTTTGCCGAAGCTGTGTGAAGATTCCTCACCCACCTATGGGTTAACAAACTAGACTCTGCTCCTGGAGGGCTGCCCTGCACACAGACGGTGTTCGATAAATGCAGCCTTCAGTAAATGCAGCCAGTGTCATTTTCCTATACCTTGGCCTGCAACTACCATGGGCGTCTTAGAATTCTCTTGAAATCTGGCCTGGGGTGCAGATTTCACCATACTCCTGCTGGGATAATAACCAAAGCTGTGATTTACCAAATCTTCTTGCTGGGCACACTGCTTTATAGTATGAATACATCATCTATTTTAGTCCTTGCAGCAACCCTGACAAATATTATTATAATTCCAATATAAATGAAGAAGTAGAAGAAAGTATAGAAAGGTTCCATCACTGGTCTAATACATGACTCAGAAGTGAACAATGGATAGGAGAGTTGAACACGTGTCTTTTTGTCTTTCCAGTCAGTGCTATTAATAACTCTATTATCCTGCCTGCCGAGGAATTCTCTGGAATTTCTCTAGGCCCTGACCCCTCTGTTGGTCCTGGTGACTTCCAGAGCTTCCCTTGGCCACAGGGTCAGACACCTTGTGAAACAGCAGCTCAGCCTCAAAGGAAGCCACGGGTCCATGGTGACCAAGGACAACCATGGCATTCGCTGGCCTAACCAGTGCTGGACCCTTAAGTAGGGAAATACCCTGGTGTGTGATATCTCTGCTACAGATTCAGAGATTTGACAAATCGGCATTTGTTAAACTAATGTTCACCCAAGAAGTCTTCAAACCATAAAAATTGGTATTTCCTACATCCTGGAAAGAATACAACTCTAAAATTCTACCTGCTGCTTAAAATGCTATTCCTTAAGTAAAAGCAGGAGGAGGGGAAGAAATGTCTACCAATTTTGATAGCTTTTATAATATTTTATTAAGTTTATCATAAGCTTTCCTCAGAGCCTAAACAGGGAGAATATTAATTGCATGATCCCCCAGGCTTATCTAGATTGTGGCCCTTTGCCCCACTCCCCTTATCTCGTCGGAGAATGGCTTGTGACTTTGCTGTATCCTATTTTAGAGCAAAGCATTTAGATTATATGTCTTTTCTCTATCTATGATCTGGTTTAGTTTTCAGTTTGTTTGTTTGTTTGTTTGTTTGTTTTCTTCTTGGAAAAATAGCATTCAATTCTCATCTTCAAAATAGAAAATCAGTCTTAAAAATGAACAAATCTTTCACAGGTGAGGGATGTAAACAGAATTAGAAATTCTGGAGAAAAGAAATGCATCGTGCACAGTCAAGTAAATATGAATTGGTTAATTTCAGCTCATCTTTTTTCTTATTAGATTGAAAATCCAGCCATTTTGACTGCCCCTTTACTGTCTCACTGTTCATTTTCTGAACACCAATGAATGGCCTTGGGAAAACTTGACCCTTCAAGGAATAATCCAACTTCTCCAGAGGAAAATAACTACTTGACCAGAATATTCTTTAAGAACAAAATAAGGAGCCCAACCTCACCATATAAAACTGTTTAGAGCAAAACTAAACTTCTGAATACAACGGATTATAATTTCTACAGCCTGTGAACAACTGCTGATCAAATTGCTAAATGCTGCTGTTTTTGTGGTTGAGGCTTTCTTCTTCGGTTTTACGTTTAATTTAGTTTTGTTTTGCAAGAACGAAAGAGGAAGGGCCGCCTAACCAGGCTGCGGGACGATTCCAGCAAGGCTCGAGTTTCCTGGGGTTCACAGCCGCGGACTTCAGTCAGCAAGTGCAGAAGCGCTTGTTGCTGCCTCAGCTGCAACCTGGGTTTCTCCTTGTCTTGCAGTTTGTAGCTTAGAAGAACGGTGTGCAAGGGACTCCAGCTCTTCCCAGACCCAGGCCAGTGTGGCTCTCTCTCAGGGCTCTGCCATAGTGAAAAGTGTGCATGTGAGTGTGGTGTGTGTGTGTGTGTCAGAGAACGAAAGAGAAGGGGAGAGAGACTGATCGATTCTTCGGCCTCAACTTCAACATCCCTTAGTCGGCCGCTTCTGTCCCCAGGCTGGTGTCTTCTGGTGCAGTAGCTCCGAGATGAAGCCACCCTGGAAAATCCTTATGGCCACTCCTCTGTTCTTTCTCCTGACCCTTCACACCTTGGCCTCTCCAGCCTATGACCACCAGCCCGGCACCAGACGCTCCAAAGGCCAAGTCTGTATAGGTACGTAAATATTCTATTTTTAATGTGGATATCATGGGGTCAAATCCTTGGCTTGCATAGTAAATCACCTATTTAATGGCATCCATAGCTATAAGATTCCAAGTAAGACACCAGTAACCTTACCAGCGTAGAAAAATTTTGCTTCTTAGAGTAAGTGTTCACACTACATACACATATGTGTGTATAGAAGCATGCTATATAGTTGCTAGTTTGAATTAAAAGTCTTCCACCTCATTGGTGATTGGAATTTTTTCCCCCTGGATGGGCAACTATAAAAGCCTGAAATTCTTACCTCCTTTCGGGACAGTAGGCAGCATTACACAGTAGAAGGAAGATGGACTTTGACCTTTGAATTGCTGCCACCTCCTCCCCCTCTGTTCTGTCCCTTACAGTCTGAAACTTTGAGCAACTTAACACTTCCATGCCTCTGTGTTCTTATGGATGAAACGAGGCTTATTATACGCACTTCATGGCGATGTGAGAATTGAGATCATGTGTGTAAATTTATGGTATTTGCACACAGTAAGGATTCAACAATCTTAGTTTTCTTCCTTCTCTCAGTGAGTCCAGAGATGGCAATAAAAGGGCAGTCACCTGAAAACATTGAACTTTGACTGAGATATGGCTTTCACTTATCTTTTATTGAAATATTTTACTTCAAAGTAGTTGTTGTTTGGTGTTTTGGGTTTTGTTTTTTGGGGTTTTTTTGGGGGGGTTTTTTGTTTGTTTGTTTTTTTGGAGAGGAGTAAAAGTAGGGTAAGACCTTTGATATTCATGTTATACCTGGAGATTCCTGAACAGGGCCAAGGGCTTTCAGTGGGTCAGTCCATGGAGCCAAGGGTACTCAGAAGTCTGAGCAGTAATTATTCAATGAGCAGATCTCAAAATAAAATCCTGGTTTAAGAAGCCAGAAAAAGAACTCGAGGGATAAGTTTGGTGGCCATCTCTTACAAATGAAAAGTTTGGATACAGATTATGATACATATGAATTATTTCTGGAGACAGTACAGAATAATATCTGAATTACCTGAAAAACCATGATTTCCAGTCTTTATACATGTTAAGGAACACATCTCTGGTTTCAAGGTCTTCTTTTAAATTAAAACCTTAAGAACCAGATTCCCTGCGAATCTATTCTCCACAGGCCTGGAAGCAGAGGTCTGTGGCCCCATTGGAGCCATGCCTGGGAGGTTATCCCCACCCACTGTTTGGTTCCATCAGATCATTATTTACCACCTTCTATTTTCTCAAAACAAACACCTAAAGCTTGTCAAGTGGAAATGCACTTGAGAAAGGCTTAAGTGTAATCAGTTCTACTTCTAGGATGGTTGCATCATCTGAGATACTTGGCCCTCCACCCCTATAAAGTAGACATGAGATACTCATTCCCTTCCCTGCCCCATTCCCACTGAGAATTACAAGGAGGTGTTGAGGGAATTCTAGGATGCGGTTGTTCTGGCTATCTATTATTGCATAAAAAACTTTAAAATAACCATTTTGTCATACCATGATCTTGTGGGTCGAGTGTGCACCTTTAGCACCAGCACACCCAGCAGCTGTGGGGATTGGAGGTGTCTCCTGAAAGGGGACCTGGGGGTGCTCTTAGGCACTGGCCAAATGTGGAAGTGTCTTAGGAAGCAGCGAAGTAAGCTCACTCGCAGCTGGTGGTAAGAGGAGGAACCTCATAGAGGGGCTGGGAGAAGAGGAGGAATTGTATTTGGACTTCTGTTAATCCCAACAACTTTCAAATGAAAAGCAGGACTACATGCCTTCCAACTCATTGGCTCCCATAGTCCAGAGTTTGCACGTAAGAGGTCAACCCACACAGAGGTGGACTCTTCTGGCTGTCATCTAACATCCTGGCACAGAGGATCTGGGCTAAGTCTTTAGCTCACTGAACAAGAAGCAGGGGAGAGTGAGGAGAGCTCCCAGTGCAGATGTGGCTGCCAGGGTCACGGAGGGAGGGCGCAGCTCTCACAGAAGTGGGAACTCTTGTGACTGGAGAGATACTCCACAAGGAGCCACTGCAGAAGTTATTGAGTGATTGAGCCAACATCCCCATCATAAACAAACAACCCCAGCTCCTATACCAAGAGGAAACTTTGCAGTGGGGAACCAACCAGCAGATCTGGAGGGCATGGCCTTGAACATATTCCAAAATCAGAACGAAGCTATGCAAAGCCCCAGTGGCCTCTTTCCCAATTTACCATAATTCCTTTGCACTGAACTGTACGTTCATTTGATCACTAAGTAAACTCTGATTCTACTGTGGTGGAACATCCATGGCCTCTTTCTGCCACTTTTCAAATGTTATGAAATCAATAATAAGCCATGTTCATTTTTGCAAAACATTATTTTCTTTACATGGCTGATTTAGGGGCAAAGTAATCCTTATGTTTCTAAGTCATTGACATTTAAATTAATTCACTGAATTTTGGGTTTGTTTTTTTTTTCAAGGAAGCTTTTTAAAGCGCTTAAAAAAATCTTTTTTCCCTCATTCATGTTTGGTTAAATATATAAAATGCCTTCAGAGTCCGATAAAACCTCCTCCCCGCCGAACCACATCACACACACAGTGGTCAGAGATGACTTTATAGTTTGAAAGATAAAGGGGAAGACAGGATCCTAAGCTTTCAACCAGCATGAATGGTAAAATGGCAATGTCGCTGACAAAAATAGGTAAGATTTAGACAGAGCCAGCAGAGAAGGTTGAAAATTTATGATCACAATTTACATGTACAGAAATTTCATTTTCTCTATTTCTCTGTATCTGAACACTTGTTCATAAGCCACCACCATTGCTGCTGAGGGCAGAAAACATTTCATCTTTCCACTCATGTGTTTAAATTTAGTCTCCTCTGGATAATTCAGGGCTCTCTTCTGTTTCCCCTGTCTGAGGGTTGCTCTCAGTCCTTGGGGAGGGCTTGTGTATCACCCTGACACGGTTCTCGGCCCTCAGAACTCCCACAGTGAAGTGTCATGGCTGGTGCAGCTCATGGGCTGTTCTCAACAGAATCCACGGTCACTCCCTGCTGACAAGCTGCTCACCTCCACCCTCGCGGGCCCTGCCGACCCTTCAGGTGTAGCCAGATGCCCGCTGGTTCCCAGCTGCAGCTGCAGCCCTCTGCACTTTGTCCCTCACTCTTCACACTTGCCCTCTCCTTAATCCCCTACTTTTATTTTTAGATTATCACAGAATTTAATCCCAACCTTGGCACAGATGGTAGGTTTCTGATCATCTCAATTTTCACTAAACTCACCTTTGCCTTTTTTCTTTTTTTCCTGGATTGTTCTGGGGCATAACCCTGAAGAGAAGGACCACAAAGGCACGCTAGAGAGAGGTCCACAGCTCTGTGAAAGGTCCCAAAGTGAGCAAAACCAAAAGAATCCAAGTGGGCAGTATGCTTTTCCTTAAGGAGAAAGTGAAAAATTTCTTTTTTGGAGGGAAGGGGTGGGCAGTAAACTAGATCATAGTTTAAATGTACTATGAGAAAGAGGGGAAAAAAAGAATGTTGCAAAGCATTAAGCAGAGTAAAATCCCCATAAAATTATATATAATGTGCCTATCTCTCTATTTATATAGCTGTCTTCCCAGATAGGATGAACAGCAAAATGCCAATAGTTGTTGTATGGTTATCTATGAGTGATGAGGTTACAAATGATTTGTAATCTCTTTTCAGTGCATTTCTGAATTTTCCACATTTTCTAGATGAGCTTGCAAAAACAACAGTAAGACATGGTGGTTAAGAGCAAAAGAGCTTAAGCTCTGGGGTCAGACTGCCTGGATTGGAATCCTGGCTCTGCCACTCTGTACATATGTGACATTAAGGGCACAGTTTCACCCTCTGTACCTTGTGTCCCCTATCTGTAAGATGAGATTACATGGGACCTGCATCCTTGGGTGGTGTGGAGGGCTAATGAGTAAATACACATGAAGGACTTAGAACTGTGCTCGGTACATACTAAGTACCCAAAGGGGTTGTGATTATGTATTCTTTTGGAAATCAGGAAAAAAAATATTGAAAATAAGCTATGGAAGTCCTGCATTTAAACCTATCATAAGGCAAAGAGGCCTGAGTAAACTGAATAATTACATGTGAATCTACATCTTATGCAAATACAAATTCTCAAATCTTGGATATCTTAAGGGAAGATTTACTTATGAAAAAAGATTTCATAGTGTCTTAGCTTTCTATTGCTGTGTAATAAATTGCCACACATTCATCAGTTTAAAACAACATAAAGTTATTATCTCATGGTTTCTGCACATGAGAAGTCTGGACATAATATAACCCGGTTCTCTGCTCAGAGTTTTACAAGGCTGATATCGAGATGTCACATGGGGCTGCATGTGATGTGAGACTCAGGTTCTCTTGCAAGTTCACTAGTGGTTGGCAGAATTCAGGTTCTTGGATTCGCAGGGCTGAGGTCCCATGTGCTTGCGAGCTGTCAGCCAGGATCACTCTCAGCTCTGAGAGGCTGCCCCTTTGCAAAAGGGAGTTAATAACGTAGCTATTTCTTTCTTGTTTAAGAACAGCTGGAGCAAGCTCTCTACATTTAAAGGGCTCACCTGATTATGTTGGGTCCACCCAGGATAACCTTGAGTAACTCAAAGTAAACTAACTAGAGTCCTTAATTACATATGCAAAATCTCTCTTATCATAGAACATAACACAATCACAGAAGTGATATCCAATCACATTCACAGGTTCTGCCCTCACTCAGGGGAGGGGATTAAGTAAGGCCTCTACATCAGGAGACAGTAATCTTATCATTCTGCCTACCACTCATAGAAATGCTTAAAAAAGAAAGTCTTCAAAGTAAACACCAGATAGTATTGCGAAAGAGAATTGATGTGACTTGGTCCCAAAGTGATTCACCAAATAGGCACGACTATATAGTAGAAATTCATAGATGAAGAGTAAGCTGTGGGTTGAAGCTTTTTTTGTTTTGTTTTGTTTTTGAGGGAGAGGGGCTTGATATTCAAGATTTTTCTCCTG